AAAACTCACACTTGGATAGCTTGGCATGCAACTACTTCTCTCTCAACACCCCTAAAACCAACCTCAGATGATGGAGGAGGCCCATGGGCCAAGGGCCTAACTACTAGGGCTATGGCCAAGAGGATACATGAAGAATGGGCTCACGCTCAAGAGAAGCCCAAAGTACTCTTCAGTTGGGCTTTGACTCAAGCCCAAATAGATTAGGTTGTAGAATAGGTTTGGGCCTTTGGGCTTGTATTACATTTTGGGCCTTGTATTTCGACCATCTAGATTAGGAGTTTTCATTTCATGGCAATGTGAATTTAGGGTTAATTTAGGTTAGCATGTGCATGTTCATTTGCATGTAATTAGTATGGAATTTAGTATGCATTTCGACCATGTGCACACATGCACATGGTGTGACCGAAATGATACTTAAATGGATACCAAATTACATCCAAATGAGAGGTGCACATGGGTGGTGACCGGTTGGCACCAAAATTTGAATTTAAACATTCAAATTTTGGCGCCTAAGGTTAAGTTAAACCATTCCATGGTTTAACTTAACCTTAGGTCAAGCTAAACATGCTCATCACACTACGTACCCTATATATTCACTTTGGCCGGCCATTGTACACACTTTTGGATGATATATGAGAATTTCTTCTTACACAAATTCTTCCACTGAAAGTCACTCCTAGTTTCTCTTCCTTCTCTCTACTTGAGCTCATCTCTTTGTAGAGTTAGGAACCTTACCTTCTATCCAGAATTTGGAAGGTGAACCTTTGTCACGCTTGCTTCTTCTCCTTGCTTCAAGTCCTTGAAATTCTCTTAAGGATCCGAGAAGAAGTTCTTGTGAAGCGTCCATGGAGTTTTCACCATTGAAGACTTCATCATCAGATGCTCACGGTAATCCTCCAAAGATCTAGAATACACCAATATATCATCAATGAAGACCACCACAAACCTATCCATGAATGACCTGAAAATCCTGTTCTTGTAATCCATGAACACTGTTAGCATTAGTGACACCGAAACGCATCACTACACACTCACAATGACCATACCTAGTCCTAAAAGTAGTCTTCGGTATGTCACTCTCCTTTATCCTGATCTAATGGTATCCGGATCTCAAATCAATCTTCAAAAATATCGAAGCTCCCCTCAGCTGATCCATCAAATCATCATTTCTCGGAAGTGGATACTTATTCCTTATCGTCAACTTATTCAGTTGCCAATAATCGACACACAAACGGGTCCCACCACCCTTCTTCTTCACTAACAGTACCGGGGCACCCCAAGAAGAGACACTGGACCTTACCATTTGTTTCTCCAACAAATCCTTAATTTATCTCTTTGCTCTACCAACTAGAGCCATCCGATAAGAAGTCACTGATACCGGTCTTGCATCCAGTACCAGATTAATGCTAAACACAACATCACGCATAGGTGGCAATCCTGACACATCATCTGGGAACACCTCAGGAAACTCACTGACAATCTCAATCCCAATGATGGCCCTCTTTGTCTTAACACTCAAAATGGAAAACAACATGAAGCTCTCAGCTCCATCTCTCATCAACTAATCAACCTGACCCGCTAACAACAAAACCTCATCCTCCAACTGAGGAAATACCCACTCTCTTCGAGCACAATCTATATGGATGTGATGGGCAGATAACCAATCCATCCCTAAGATTATGTCAATATCTACCATGAGCATCATAATCAGGTTCACTCGGATCCTCCTACCAAACACCTCTATCGGGCATCTCACACACATCTCTGAGGTCACCACAAAAATTGAAGCCGGAGTAGACACATACCAATCAACGTGCAATGCAGACACTGACAAACCCAACCCCCCTACACAATCAACAGAAATAAATGAATGTGTGGCACTATAATCAAACAGGAACAAAATATCCTCACCTGCTGCCTTCCCCTTCCTCTTCACTAAATCTGTTGAAGTGGAAGTCTCTACACTTGATAAAGCAAACACTCTCCCCGTAATCGTAGGCCTGACTAGCCTCGGGGCACTCTAGATGGAGTCGGTGACATTTGACAATCTCTGGAAATGTGGCCTGGCCTGCCACATCTGAAAAAAAAATTTCCCGAATGGGAACAATATCTAACCATGTGGGCTTCTCCACATCTATAACACTGCACCGACTGTGCTCCACCCTAAGGAGTAGCAAGACGAGGTCCCCTACAAACAGCACCCCTCTGAGACTGAACAGGTCTGTCATAGGGTCCTCTCTACTGACCTCCCCTCCTAGATCTAGATGATCCCTCCTAAACTCTAGCAGCCTTGACGCTGCTACCACCACCCTCCAATCTCTCAACAGTCTTTGCCTTCTCAACCAAGGCAGGAAACTCCTCTATGAACATAGGGACTATGACCCTCTTCAGCTCATTCCTCAACCCCTCTGCAACTTCATACATCTCCAAGCCTTAGATAGGCTTGAGAGTAGAAACAAGTCAATTGATCAAACCTCATAACATTATCCGAAACAGACATGCTCCCTTGCCACAGTCTCATGAACTCTACCTCTTTAGCATATCTAACACAGTCCAAGAAATACTTTTCCAAGAAAACTCTCTTGAAACAATCTCAATCTACAACCACACCTCTGCTCTCTATCATCTGCCTGGTGCCTCTCCACAAGTACACAATCTCGCCCGCCAGCATGTATACTACATAGGCCAACTTACTCTCCTCAGAAAATCTCAAAACACTGAAGATCTTCTCATCTCACACAACCACAAATCTGTCACATCGGGATCTGAATCCTCCTTGAACTGAGGAGGCTAACATCCCCTGAACTCTACTAAATCTCTCCCATCCTGAAAGACCATCGGTCTAGCTACCTCAACTGCAACTCTACCCGCCTCTATCTGAGCAAAGTGAGCACTTTGCTGCTGCACCACCATGACCATCATCTCCATAGCCCTAGCGATCTGATCAAACTGAGGCCTCACCATACTAAAAGAATTCAAGCTTCCTAATCTGAATTTCAAGAAAAGACAAAAGGCATTAGTGATCTAAAGGAGAAAAGGAATCATACAGAGAAATTTGGGAGAGAAAGGAAGTCACAGACCTAGAGTCCTTCTCTCTAAAACTTCTCTCTAAAAACTTCACTTTCTCCTCAAACCAACCCCTTATTTATAGAAGTTCCGGAGTGGCTAGAACGGCCTGTTCCGAATCGGAACGACCCATTCTGCACCCTCTCACCATGTGCAAAAATCACATGCAGAACGGCTCATTCTCAAATCAAAACGAGTCGTTCTGGGACTCATCCAGAACGACCCGTACTCCCTCCAGAACGGCCCGTACTCCTTCTGGAACGGCCCGTTCTCCCTCCAGAATGACCCGTTCTCAACTACAATTTTCAGGTCAATTTAGTAGTTTGGAACGGTCCGTTCCTGATTGGGGACGGCCCGTTCTGGGCTACTAAAACACCCATATTTTTTTTTTAAACTTACTACGTTACAGTTGTAACTAGTAGATACTTTATACCAATAACATAAATAAAAAAAAATATAATAAGAGCATTAAAATGAGAGAAATTTCATAATAAGAACAAACAATTGCAAGTATTAGACTAAAATTAAAAATAACATATTGTTAAAACTTATTTTATTCAATAAATTGTTGAGATTAAAAATTAATTATAAACATACTATGGTGGAATAGTAATTTAAAAAAAAATGGATAATAATAATAGGAGTGATAATTTTTGAGGATCGGCAACTATTTTTTTTTCCTGATAAACATTGCTCTTTAAATTTAATTTTTATTTCTATAAAGACAATTTTTTTATGATAATTTAAATCTTCAAAATCTTCCGAAAAAAAAAGGATAAAACAATCAACATTTTTATTTGATGAAGAGATCAAATAATTGAGTGAGAATTTGTAAGTATTTATAAATTAAGAGATATTTTATTAGTGTAATATTTACAGTGACTTACATGATTGATGATAATTACTATAAAAATGTAACTCGGTCAAATCAAGTTTTATTGTAATGATTATACAATGGTAAATTTAAATAATGGGAAAAATTAATAAAAAAAATAAAACTATTTTAAATAAAAAATTATAATATTTCTAATTTTGTAACCTTTATTATTTTTAATTTTATTTTATTTTTAAACTATTAGTTGTAATAAAGTAACTAACACTGGAAAAAAAATATCCGGATCATATTAGATTGACAAAAAGAATGTGATGATAAAATTTTGAACAAAACAATAAATAATAAAATTAAATATAACTTTCCTCGGAGATAACAAGAATTATTCTAAAAAATTATAATAAATTACTTCCTTAGATCATTTTTATTTTAAGTTTTGCACATCCTTAGAAATTATTTAACATTAATACGTTAAGTATAATATATATAAAGATATATATATATATATAAA